GCCGTGGCTGTGGGCGTGTGTGGAGGGGCGAGCGGCGGTTGGTAGATGTACAAATGTCTCCTCTCCTCCCTCCCTCTTCCTAAGCATCAAATTTTCCCATTCCCCCTCCCTCCTGGTAGTGAGGACTGAGAGTAGTGAGCGACCAAACTCGCCCCCGCCACTCAGTCGCCCTAAGTCGCACACCCCCTCCCCTGGTAGTGAGGACTGAGGGCAGTGGGCGAACAACTCGTCCCCCCCACTCAGCCCGAGTGGAGCGGAGAGAGTGAGTTTTGTGCTCAAAAACTGAGCTTACATACGGGAAGAATGTGGGCGTAGCCAAGGGTGGAGGCGTACAGATGACCTCAAGGGCTGTAAAATGCGCCTACCCTGATACGTCACACATCACATATGCGTGACCTGAAAAGCCATAAAAATCCTTCCTTCCTACTTTTTTTATCTTACGCTGGCATTACATTCAAACTACCTCCGTCTGCCTTGGGGCAACCCTACCTGCCTTCCGGAAAAAAATTTTTTGCAACTTGTTTGTGAAACGGGCCGAGCCGATCCGATTCGAATCGAGCTGAGCCGTGTTTTAGTAGCTCTTCGTTTTTCTGTTCACACTGATCTGCCCGTTTACTGCCCGAGATGTAGTAGGTGTTTTTTATCAAGTACAGCGAGAGTGTGAGTGATTCTGTAATTTGATGTTCTGAAGAAATGATCGCTTTCGATGTCCACTAATTTTCACCGCTTAGTTATTTGCCTTGTTCTCGTGATCGCTGAGTATTATCAGACATTTCTCGCAGAGCCGCAATTCTCCAGTTTTTTTTTTTTTTTTTTTCACTATTAATGCATTGTTTTCACATTTCTCCATTTTGCTAGTGAATTACGCAGCAGTCCGTTCCCCATACTTTATGCAACCAAAGCTCTCGATGCTGGCGATGTACGATTTGTGGAAGATTTTTTCTTAGATGAGAATCTTCTGTACGAATGGCAGATGACTGCTTACAATTTTTCTGATTCATGGACTGTTATGCGTCTTATTACCGTTCGAAATAGTATGCATGGGCTGCCTTTTGCTGGCAACACGAGCAGCGTGTCCAGCCAAAATCCGAGTGGTTTCTAAACAGTGCTTTTTCCCCGAGCTAGCTGATTGTCAGAGGCCAATAACGCTTAGCAGCAGCTGATGGTGCGGCGGCTGATGGTGTCATTGCAGCGATCGCACTTGCAAATCTTATCACTCTCAAAAATCGAAAGATCGAAGCGTGATAAAATTGGGTTGTGCTGTTCAGAGATGCTGATCATTTTTTTTTTTTTTTTTGAATCATTAGATTTCCGATGGAGGTCCTCAAATTTACTGACTTGGAGCCAGACACAGGGCGTAGGTGTGTCAGAATCTTCCTATCCTCAGCTGTTTGTCTCTATTCCATACCTACCAGGAAGTACACGCATCTCCTTTGAAATTTGTTCGGTTGGTCGTGTTCTTTCTTGCGAGGTATTTCTTGCTGATGAGTAATACCACCGTTATGCGGCTTCTTTTTTGCATTTTTTTGGCGGCACTGATAACTCGAAAAGGTCACATAACAACCAACTTGCCTGCAACAAACTATGCAGCTTAAAAAAATTTGTGGCTTAGTTTACTGCACGCAAGTCAATTTTTATGTGATTTTCTTTTTTTCCCGAATACTTTGTAAGCTGCGAGGGGATAAGTGTATATAAACCCGCCAACAAATTCCGCTTTCTCACAGCGAGAGTGCTAATACATTCCTCGCCTCCTCCAGTAAACTATTTTACGGTGGTCGTGCACCTTACTTCTGTTTCATTAATTGTTTATAAAGTGTAGTGAAATCTAATCTCCGTGAGATACGTTTTTATAAACTCAATTGCTCAAAATTACATTTTTATAAACTCAATTGCTCGAAATAGACTCTTTCCGAGGGCAAGAAATCCGAATATTTTACTGCTGGTGACGGGTAACTGGTTCTACCAAACCGCATCACGGTGTGATCGTCCCAGATGGCAAGGCATCCTTAATTACTGCGATCGAAGTTACATCACCCGGTGATCGGTATGCTGAGGAACCTTACCTTCGTTTTTGTGCTTTCCTCTGAAAAATCATCACTGAAAAATGTAGCAATTCAGCTGTATTAAGAAAAATTGTCTTCCGCTCTGATGGTGATCTGTTAATCTGTCGTTTTTACGATTGCTTAGCGAAATTTAAACTTCGTCTATATTTCTGAAATATCTTCCATAAACTGCGGTTTAACATTAAATCTGCCGCACTGACAATAAGATGAAGGAGGATTTCTGCACTTTTTCACTCGAGTGTAAAATCTTTTATCAAAATTAGTCGATGGAAATCTTGGGGAAGTTTCCGGAACGAATGGAAAATTCCGGAAGTACTCAAATTATCACCACTGCTTAAAAATCGAACGCTTATTATAGTTACTTTGATAGTCAGCAGTACGATTCGTGAATTATGTATTTTGATTCACTGTTGTTGGCTTTTCGGTGCAGGACAGTGTCACCAAAAATATGAACTGACTAAATTGGCAGTTTCCGGTCTCAGAATTTGTCTCACTTTTTGCAGCACCGATAGTTTTCTTAATTTCATCAGTTTTAATTTTTGCGATATATTGTCTTTTAGTGTTTGCTGACCCTCTCTCAGTTGAATGCTTGATCACCTCTACTCTCATCTCTTCCTCATTTCGCTTCCGGCCGTTCCTCTTCAGTGGGCTTATCATTTTCACAGCGGAATTTTGCATCTTGGCCGTGTATTTTGAACTTATTTTTTCGAAAAAAAAGCTGCCTTTTATCATCCTTAGTATACGTTAGCAAGTTCTGAATTCATCGCCATAGCCCAATATGTTAGTACTTTATGACTCCTCTCCTCCTTGTAACGGAAAAGTATTCGGGTGCACCTAAATCATGTCAAAATGGCTGAGTGTTTTGTTGTAGAGCAGATATAATGTTAATATTTAGAACTGCAAAGTGCCATCTGTTATACTTCTTTAAGTTTAGACTCTCATTGGATGAGTAATGGTCTTTCGCGGCTCACTGATTACCCTGGATCTTACGTTGTATGTTGTCTACTCATTTCATGGCACAGCAGTGCATACCCAGTTCGATTTCCTTTTCTTCTGCTTTGTCCAATTTGATCCTGATTTTTAAACTAAACGACTAACAACTATATGAATGGTAGCCGCAGTGAAAATAATAATGATAACAGGAATACCTTGAATACCTTGAACAGCTGTTGTTTCATCGATCTCTGGTGTCACGCCATCGATGCAG